ATAAAAGAAGACTGCATTATAGATTGCCAAGAACTAATTTAATCATTAAGCCCACTGTACTCTAAAGAACATCATGCATGAGATAAATCTAGACAAACACTCTCCATTATGCAGATATTTTCAAGTATCTGGCTATCTGATGTTATGTAGACAGGCTGTCTGAATATTGGCATAATTTTTTTTGGCTTTTATTTAGGTATTTGGCATTAGACTTATGCTTTTCTATACAACTACTTGCCAGGCTCCTTAGCCATGCCACAACTTTCATGGCTTACAAACAATACATAAACTTATATGTAAATTCCATTGCCTCTTACGCTCTTCTTGACTACTGCAGTTCCTCTGAATTAAGGATCCATAATTTTGTTTCTGTATGTAAATACATTAAACGTTAAGGTAAACATATGGTTTGGGAGTTGCATCTACAAATAAGATGGAAAAAAACTAGAAATTTTTAATGGATGCTGAATTATCTGGTTAAGAAAGGAGGTTGTCCACTTGGAAAAGAAATAGGGCTGCTTTACCTCTGCAGATTTCCAAAACCACAAATCTATTTAAAACCCCAAGTGGAAAAATCTACGTGCCCAATCCTGCACGATGAGTACAATTTGGAGTCTTTCTTTACTAAACACATATGCTTTAGAAATGTAAAGATAAAGGGGGAAAAAAACTGCAGAATTTCAGAACTCAGGAAAAATGCCCATGAAGGCTACTCTTATTATGCAGACTGATGGCAAGTAACAGGGTCATTAAAACCAGCTCATGCATGCAGAGTTGTTTCCCAAAGAGCTGTAAATAATATCAATCTGATGAAGCTCAGCATTAGGCTGAGTCAGCAACCACCCCTGCTCAGTGTTCACCCATTAATTGTACATATTTGCACTTCTTTAACATCATCAAACTTCACAGTCTAGAGTGGCTTTTTGAGATATGCAGCTCTATTCACACTTCAATAATACATTGAAGTTCCCTGTGAAAAAGTCCATGCTAAGTATTATCTGAAAGCTTTTTTTTTTAATGCAGTGACTATATTTCTAATCACTCCTCCATATACTCTACTCTGATTTATGAGAAAGATCATTAGTACTTTAATCTGTTAGCCCTATACTGATAGCCTTGCTAAAGAATTATTTCACTGCTATTAATACCTCTCCTGCAGAAATACTTTTTTTGAGGTGGATATGCCTGTATAGCATCTTGGCCATATAACTAATGCTCAATAATATGCTGAAGAGCATGTGTAGGAGGTTGTCGGTTGCAGGTGGGAAGAGTAAAGAGAGGGTTCCAGAATAACTACTAGTTTCAGTATAGCATTTGTTATGTACCAGGTTCTGATCTAAGCACTTTAAATCTTTCTTCATTCAGTCTTTACAGCACCCCTAGGAAGTAAGTCCTATTATTATCCCCATTTTACAGTCAGCATAACAGAAACAGAGGGTTAAATTAACTTGCCCAGTTCATACAACTGGGTAGTAAAGCTGTGATTCAAACCCAGGCATGGCTCTTAATTGTAATGTCATATGGCCTCTTGTTAAAAACAAGAATATTTTGAAAGGTTATTACAGTGGAACAAAAAAAGATGGATAACTAGCCTTCCAATAAAGACTGTAATCCAGCAGGAAGCAAAAAGGAAACGCTTTTTAAACCTGCCTCCCGCTATCTTATATGATAGAGATAGATGAAGAGATAACATACATACATACATAAATTAAAACCTTCATAAATTCAAGGAAAACCACATCAGAAAAACATTACATTTGTGAAATAGATTTTTTAAAAGAAAAAAGTTTATTTTTCTAATCATGAAATCATATGCCAACTGAGATACAAGGCCTCAAAAATAATTTTTAAAACTGGGAGGAATTTAATACAGAACTGCATGAGCCGGACGGATAGCTCTTACCTACTCAAAACTTCAGGTGATTTATTTTCATTGTCTACCAGCCATTTATACCTCCATCTTTGCATGTAATAAGAACCTGGCAATAAGACTTTTTTCTATATATTATGTGATAGTCAATTCAGCCAATGGCTGGGGACCTCTAATATGGATATATGTCTGACACTGTGAATATGATATGTTTCCAGCTTTTCCCCCATGGTTAGAAACTGGAAAGAAAAGAGAGACACACAACCTAACACTAAAATCAGGTGACCTTTGGTAATTGCTAGTCTATAATAGAAAAAAGGGTGAGACCTCTGGAAAACGTCATGGAGGAGTTGAGATGTGAGATGTTATGTAAGCTGTAGCATATCAGTAGGAAGAAATGCAGGAGGAGGGCAGCTGGAGGAGGGCATAATGAACAGCACCAAAGACACGTTGGATCTGGAGAGTAGGCAGAGATCAGCTTAGGTCTCCAAGACGCTGGAGAGACAGGTGGGTAAATTATGGCGTTGTCAATAATGCTAAAGAGGGTAGGGATGGAGCTCATTGGTAGAGCACTTTCCTAGCATGTGTGAGGCCTTGGTTTCAATCCCCAGCACAGCAAGAAAATAATAATAATAATACCACCCAATAGATAACCTAGGTATAGGCTACAAGAACTCAAGTCCTTACTTAAGAAAGCTGGCTTTTTATTCCCAAACACCAAAAAGAAAGACCAAGGCATAAAAGCACCTGATTCTTTTTAACTACCCAACTCCTTTTTGAAAGTGAGAAAGATCTAGTAATAACAACATCAATAACCATACACTTCTTTTTTCACTGATTCCACTTAATTTTTTTTGGGGGGGGTGGATAATGCAATGGGCCAAGAGTCAATAGAACCACATTCTAGCAGAACTCTCACCTGAAGAAAATAGTCTAAGCTTCAAAATCCATTTGAGAAACACCTTACTGCAACACTTCTAGTGTTCCTTTAGCTTTTACATTCTATAAATCCATGCTCATTTTAAAGATACATTTCTCATTGAAACATGCACCATGTATATATGCTCCTGTGCTTTTAAGAATGCATTTGATAAGGCCTGACATGAGTTCCAGTTTTTTGTTTTGTTTTGTTTTTGTCTACCAAACAATATAGTTTATTTTCTCATATTTGCTTATGGACATGTAGGAAAGCAAATAAAGGAACACTATATAAATTCAGAACATGGTTACTGGTATAAAATAACAGAACTTTCTATAGAAAGTGACTTTACTGATTTAGTCATTATCCCAGCTATTCTTGATATCCTGGAAACTACAGGAGAATATCCAGGTCACTGGGTACCAAGTTTGCCAAATCCTCCGTCTTGCTCCATTAGTCCTCAACGGCTCAGAGTACCCTTCCGCAGGAAATTGCCTAGTCAGCAAAATTGCCTGCATACAAAGATATATGTAAACATTAACTGACCAAGGATGAATGATTCTTCTTGACCTCCTGAGCATTTTACTTGGGCAAGGTCTAAAGGAGAGGGTAATATTCCAGCCAGCAATAGGTCTGAAATGAATATCCATGTTCTTGACTTCCAGAGACAAATTGGCTCTGGTCAAGAAAGAGAAGTATAGAACTCTTCTTGTGCAATGATAAACCTTACACAAAACTGGAAATCTAAAGATAAATTTTAAAATTCTCCCTCTCCTCTATATCATCTTAACTCCTTACAACTATACTTTCTCAGCACTCAGTGCCTTTGTGTTTCTGACCATCTCTCAGGTCCTCTCCCAGCAGCTGAGATGACATGCTCAAGCCCATTTTAGAAGTGCCAATTGCTCTATTATCTTTATTCACCTCCCTCTTCTCCTGGTGAGGTCTACCTTGAGTGACAACGACTTGTTTAGGAATGTTCTCTGCTCTCTTTCACACAGGAAATATGGCAGCTTGTCCACCATGTTTCAAGGAAGGAATCAATGTGACTAAGACATAATCATGAGAGAGGGTCTACCAGCTGGTTCTGCCCACCAGTTAAGACCATAATCTTAATAGCAATAGCCAGGAAGTCTCTCATAAAATGTGTAGATTTTCCTTCCCTTGAACTTAGTAAGAAAAGTAACATTGATTAGTCTAAAAAGATTGAAACTAAACTAGAATTTAAATATACTTTGTTTTACTATATAGTTGACTTAGGCATAAGTGCATTTAGCAGAGTATAAATGCACAGTTTAGGTTCTTATGTAGCATTCCAGTTTCCTCATCACTAAAGGTCACTAAAAACCCTTTGTCAGCTTTAGCTGAGAGAATGATTTCTGTTCTGATTTGGTGTGGATTCATATTTACCTTGTATGGTCTCATCTTGCAGATCTTCCACACAATGTCACCTACTCCTTTTCTATACCAGTCTGCTATGGGAATGAGCACATTCTTATATCTATCCATATTCCTGGGCATAGTCTCTATATTTACTCAAAGCTCAAATTTTAATAGCAGTATTTTGACAAGTCTTATTCCTAGGAAGCTTTGTTTACCTCCAGTATACAATCCTTGAGTTACCTATTTTCTCCAAGAATCTTGTGTGCAAGATTGCAGGCTCACACACGCCTGCAGTCTCCCAACCACTCTTCCTCACTTCCTATGAGTTCATCCTGATCAACACTACCACTGCACAGAGGTGGTGGTGGGAAATACAGTCCTTTTTTTTTTCTATAAGAGTAGAGACTTTCAGTGTCAAGAAATACTTTAAAAAAAAGGACTCTTCTCTAGAGTAGAAATACTAAAACTATAGATGTTCTATTGTGATGTTATCAAACCTCACTAGGCTACTATTTAACATGGACCCCTGAAATCCTAATTTCATATACAATTGCCTCCTTAAAATTTCACTTAGATACTTAAAAGTCACTCAAAATGACATTTCAAACAGAAGATTCTTAAATTTCACCTCATTCCTCAAGACTAGCTTCTGCTGCAGTTAGCCTCAGTTCAGTAAAATAGCAGAGGCAGTCAATCAGTGGCTGAAAGAAAAGACATAGGAGATAGATTTCTCCCTTTCCTACTTTCCTCATTCAATCCATGAATAGGAGTTGTAGAATCAACTTCCAAAATATTTCCCACCTGACTCCCTTCTCTCCTTTTTTTCAGCTACCACTGAAGTTCCAGATGCCATCTCCTCAGCCAGTTCCGTGCGATGACCTCCCAACTCTTCTCCCTACTCCTGTATCTATATCAACTACAGATCAAAACAGCATAATGTTTGTATAATATGAATCATATCACTTTACTACTCTGGGTACAACCCTTCCCATAGGACTTAGAATAATTTGATTATTATCCATAAACCCTATGTAATCTTACCTCTTCCTCTTTCCCCTGATCAACTTTTTCTCAAGCTCTAAATACAAGCGGACAATAACCTCTTCTCTGCCCTGTCCCATAGCACTTTGGATAGGTGACATCTTCTCATTCTTTAAGCCTCAGTTTAACTGTCACCGTTTCCTTGCCCTATCATCTAAAGTGACCTGGTCAGACTTGGTGACATTACCCCAGTATTCCCTTCACTGCTTTTTCGTTGTCTGTTTGATATTTGTTCTTTTGGTTTTCAATCTGTCGTCCACATCTAGAAGAAAAGCTCCATGAAGACAGAACCTCGCCTGATTCGTGTACCACTCCAGCACTCAACACCGAGCAATGCCAGCCACAGGGTGGACTCTAATAAATATTGATAATATTGATGAATATTGGAATTGGCTCCACCTCTTCCTGGATACCTTTCTAAAGTTACTTACTCTCCATTGCCTTGGTTTCTCCATCTATGAAATGAGGGAAATAGTACGATGTCTCTCATCTGGGTTATTTTGAAGGATAACTAAAATAACATGTAAAACCCTCACAGACAAACTTAAGTATTTATTACTGTTATTTAAAAAATCAGTGAGCCACATCATGTAAACTTCATTACCAAGTAGTCACTATCAGGTAACAAATGAAATTCATAGGGGCTTTATCAACCAACCATAAAATTCTAACAAAGGGCATATTTGAATTCATAGCAAATGGTGTGTGAAATACATGTAATTAGGGAGCCGTGAGGGTCCCATCAAACTCTTCTTCAGGACTTACTTCTCTCTCTAAGCACAGGGTTGAAACTAACTGAATTACAGTGTTTGCTTGAAACTGTGGCCATTTAACCACTCAGCCAAAGTGAAATTAAAATGGAAGCACAGAAATATCTAAGTTGGAAAGTTACATGAGATTCAGACAACCTATGTAAAAGTATATTTGTCCCCATGAAGAGTAGCAGGGAACGGGGACTGGGGATAGGGCATTTTCATTTATACTGATTCATTCATTGAGTCTCTCCTAGCTAGGGGCTAAGGAAGTCTAAGACATTGGGGACAACTGAGTACACTGAGAATAAAAGAAAACCCTGTTCTAGAGGATCCTAGATCATGGAGGGAAGGTGCTCTGTAAATCAAGTAACCAATGACCACACCAGGAGTCAAGCAAAATCTCTGGAGGTTGCTTGACCAAGATGATCATTAACTAGAGTAGGTAGGAGGCCAGTCCAGAAGGCTTCCTGAACTCCTCATTGACTCTGACCCGGAGGCTGATCTTGTGGTCAGGAGCACTTCCAGAAAATCAGGAGATCTCTGAAACTAATCTGGAGTTTTGGCTCTGTTCGAGGTACACTTAAGCTGGCCCTGAAAAATTCAAACCTCAAAGAAACTCAAACCGAATGTGTTATATTCCAACTTGTAAGCTGACCCTGGGGCCATCTGTGCTTCTCGGAAGTTCTCTAAATTGGAGCTCTAGAGCCAGGATAAACCACTAGGTTTTCTTGGAAGGCCCACTACCCCGCAATCACCTTTTATCTGCCTGCAGAAATTTTATGCTTTGCTCAAAGCCCAGTCTAAATCTTCTCTTCCCCAAATTCCCTTCAAGCCTCCAATCTGGGTTCATCTTCTTCTACCAACCACACCCTGCCCCGATTCATTGGTTTTTAAAGTCACAAAATCCATCATATTTGTGTTTTGTTTAGTTTTGCTTTTATTCTGCTTTTTCTTCAATGCATTGCTCAGAGTGGGTGCTCCAGCACCCACTGAAACCAAAGCCCTAAAAGTGAAATGAATATGGTATTTGAAATGGAGCAGGCCTAGTAATTGGGAGAAAGGAAGAAAGTGGGCTGAACACAAGAACATATAGTGTGACTAGGTAACCTAGGGAAGGATTTTGCCCAAACCCTGGCATCCTAATCTGCCTATAATTCTTTCCACGGGGCACTTGACTGACTGGACACAAGTGTGGCTTAACTGCCATTCTCTTTGAAAAAGCAAGTATGATTTGGTGACTCATTCATAGAGGGCATGAAGTTATTTTCAAAAAAAGGTCAGATGCTAAAGAGAACACAAATGGAGCAGGGAGTCAATAAAACATTTGCCCTTTATCGGCTGAATAACCTTATAAACCATCTCCCTCCACCCTCAGATCCTTAGCATCTGTACTGAAAAACAGAGATAATGAAGTTTTCTTCAGAGGACTAAGTGAGGATACAGATGAGTTTTATGAGAAAGTGCCTGGGGTAATAAGAACTCAAATTTGGGTCTCTGCTCCACATTTAGCTGGTTTTTTGTTCACTGATTCAATATCTAACAGATACTTATTACACGCCTGCCACATATTGAGCGCTATGAGCATAACAGGAGATAAAAAAACAAAGGTGTCTGTATTCCTGGTTGATACGAAGTATATTTAGCAAATAATAGCATGATTAAATAATCACTGCTGTGACATGCTGTGAAAGAAGAACTGTAGGAGGCTCAAAGAGTGAATAACAGAGAGCTTGCTCTAGTCTTCTGAGGTTGGTTAGGAAGGACTTGGAATGGGAATACACCAGTGTGGGAAGAAGACATTTTGGAACATAATGCTATTTTTTTTTAATTTTTTATATCATAATGCTATTCTTCCTGAGTCGTCATTGTTCAGCCAAAGAGGGAGTACAGGGCTGCAATATATTCAGGGGAAGAAACAGGAATGGGTATGAGAATAATAAGCAAAGTCTCTAAATTACAAAGGGAAGATGAGATATGGCTGTTGGGTCTTGTTCCAGTGCAGTCCTGAAATGACCCCCCCCCCAAAAAAAAACAGCTATTGAGGTGAAATCCTATCTTTGAAGTGCTAATCAATAGATTTTTTTTCCCCCTAAATCTTCCCTCTTGTCCTTCCAGGGCTTCTTACCTCCTCCCTCAACCTCACCCCAGTTCCTAGGAATCTTAAAATCTTTGCCTTAAGGGAAGATTACATTATAACAAAAAGCAAAGGAAAGGAAGCATCTTCTTAGATGTTGTTTTCAAAGACTTACGCCTTTAGGTGCAGGAAGCACTTTTGACATAGACAAATGTTTAGGAGCAAGGGATTATAGGTGTTGAGCTTCTCAAATCAGGAAGATCATGGAAGGCAGAGTTACACACACAATGCCTTTGCCTCTACTTCAGACACAGAAAATATCCCACTGTCTGGGGACAAAGAAAAAGACAAAACAATTAGGGTAGGACAGTGGTGAATCTCCAGGGACCTCTTTTGTCCCTGAAGTATGGCCAACTTTGAAAAAGGTGTGAAAAGAAGAATCTCCCCCTTATGGGAGCCTCAGGGGAATTTCCGCCTGAATGACTGGCCCAAGTTCTCACAGTGAGTCTTTAATGCCCTCTGGGAGAGGCCTGATGGGGCCTGTGCTTCCACACTCTGCCTGTCAGCAGGAACCGAGCTACTGGAGCCAATAGGGCTAGCCTAGCCCAAAGGGGCATCAAGGTAACAAGTTATACACGCAAATGACCAAGTCCCAACAGGATGATAGACACCTCAAAGCTTCCCATTTAGGGACTTGTACAGGCAACATTTAGGAACCACCATGACATTGAAGACCCTGAACTGATGGAAATCAAATGATACCACCTCCATGGAATAGGGCCTAGAGATAAAAATTGGCTTTTGTATGAAAATGAAAAGTTATGTTCTCAGACCTTGGTTTGTGAACTGAGATTCTTATCTACTGCACCTGATTGCTACCAGTTCTTAGATGTCGGATTTTGCTTTGCTGCAGCCACAGCTGTTCCTGTACTTCTTTATTCCAGGTTTAAACTTCTGCACTTATGTTAAAGCCCCAGTAGCACTGCAGACCTTTTTTATTTTTTTTTTCAAAGGGAAGTCAAATCATTACACATTTCACTGTTATTGTTGTGAACCTAAGCATCCTGCTGTGAAGTGGCCTCCATTCGATAGGCTGCAAAGAAGATTAAAAGGACAGCAATTATGATCTTCCTCAGATGCAGGAACTGAGCTCCAGCCGCAGCAACTGAAATCTGTATATCCTGGTGCCGGCCAAGCTTTTAGCAGTTCTGCCTGGAGCCTCTCTTTGAAGTGTGTCCAAATGGGACTTTAAATCACAAACGCTCGCTGCTCACACTCTCTCCTCTAGGACCAGGAAACATGCTCTTGTTTAATGGTGTCTCATCTAAGGTGGTTTTTTAGCTTTTAAATAAAAGAGATTACTCCCACTTCAAAGCTAGTTGTTCCTTGGCAAAGGGTAACACAGATTCTTGGGGAAAAGATCGAAAGAATGAAAATTCTGAGTCTTTGAGTTCCCTCTGGAGTTCCCTATTTTAGGTCACTTTCACCAATTAGCCCCCAAAGATCCTTGCTGACAGTAATTTACAGATGAAAATCCAAACCAAATGAGCCCCAGCTGTGGGGCAAAGGCTTCCATGGTAAAGCCGGGAACAGATTAGGAGTTGGCTCAAAAAATATACTAAGTATGGGAATTGAGCTAAGGAACCTCAAGGATGTTTAGGCTCCAGGGAATAAGTTCTGAGTCACCGCAGCAGTTTACTGTCTTGCTGTCCCCACCCCCCAACCCCCACCCCCGCCCTGATCCTGTGCTCTGGCTTCAGTCTTTTGCATGCTCCATTGAATCCCTTGGCCTTCAAGACTGAGCGTGGGTTTAAAAGTTGAAACTAACTCCAGTGTTTGTTTTTACCAACCCCCTGCCATCTGGATGGGTACATCACTTTGTTCTTATGAAAAGGAGAGAGGGAAAGTCACAGAAAGAACTTGGAAGGAAAATTCAAATAAATAGATAAACTTCATAAATGGAGAGTACTTTCAGGGTATGTCCTAAGTGGGGTTGTGCATTGTTTTGAAAAATCTGAATTCTAATAGATAGAATGCTACATTTTGTGTGCTTTTTAAGAACGACTGGTTAGTCTCATCGCAATTTAGCTTTTTGTCACTTAGGAGAATCGTGTTCTTCAGATGATTTTGCCAGAACTTAATATTCACAGAAATGATATTATGTTCAAGGTCCCTGAGAACAAGTAAAAGAATCTCCTTAATTAGCGGAAGTGACCACAAGGTACTTGCAGAACCTACAGAAAATTAGATAGAAGGGTTTTAAAAATCAAACAGTCACAGGGCTTTTATCCTGCCTATGTTTATTTGCTAGGGCAGCCATAACAAAATACTACAGACCAGATGACTTAAACAACAGAAATTTATTGTTTCAGAGTTCTAGAGCCTAAGGTCCAAGATCCAAGTATCCACAGGTTTGGTTTCTCCTCAGGTCTTTCCGCTTAGATTATATAGATGGTCATCTTCTCCTAGCATCCTCATGTGGTCTTCCTCTGAATGCACATTCTTGGTGTCCCTCTGTGTCTCCCAGTTTTGCCTTCTGATAAGGACAGCATCCACCCTAAAGGCCTCATTTTAACTTACTCACCTCTTTAACTTATCTCCAAATATAATCATATTTTGAGATAACAGGGACA